TTGCGGACATTCTGGAGCAGTCCGACAAGGTTCTCCGTGGGACGGATGACCACGGATTCCAGGGTGCTAAGCAAGGGTGTAATAGAGGAATTACACCGAGAGATGATGGACACATAGGTACGAGCAGCATCCAGAGTGGCCGTTGGGGTGGGGGTATTGGTCCCAGGAAGGTCGTAGAGCTCAATCAGAGTATTTGAGAAGGCTACTTGACTATCCACCATTGCTACAAGAGGGAGGAAAGAGAGGAATGAGCGAGATATTAAAGCAATAGAGTAAGTGGCATTTTTCCTAGCCTACCAAGGACGGCCTTGCGGAATTTGCAAGAGTCAGTCAAGAGATCTCCGGAAGCGCGTTCAAATTCTTCGAATTGACGAGCTAGCGCGGCAAGTTCCGGGTCAGCTTCCACTAGATGAGTGAGGGAAGGGAATGAGTCATTGGGGCAAAGAGGGAGGGAGATCAGTATATTGAATGGGATCAAAAGCTCACCTTCAAGCTTTCCCGTCTTATTGAGAAACTGAGCAGGAAGCCGGTTGATGGCCTTTTTGAAACCACGGCTACCCAAAGATGAGTGCAAGTAGAGTGAGAAAGCAATCACCAAGTCTGCTCAAGGAGTACACTCGACTTACAAGCTCATTCTGAGAAGAGGAAGGGAAGGAAAATGTATTGAAAAAAAGAGAGAGAAAAAGGAGGAGGAGTGGGGAAGTCAAGAGATAGAGGAAGAGAGAGAGAATGAATGAACCATTCGAGACACGCGGTCTCAGCTCCTACGCCAAGTATGCTAAGCTATCTTCCCCCCTTACCCATCTCGGAAGCCAGTGATGAAAGAAGGGCCGAGAGTAGCCCAGCTAAGCCAGGTTTAACCAGATGGGGGCTGCCCTAGCTCCCCAGGTGGTACTGCGGCTGCCAAGGCCCACGGTTGTATAAAACATGATAACCAATGTGCAGCATAGCCTTACGTCCTCCTCATGCCAGAGAACAGCACACCGTTGTATGTATGATGGTTTATAGCAGCTTCACCCATCTGTGTGGAGAAATGATAGTGAGGTCATCGAATGAACTCACTCCCAAAATAACTAGGCTAGAGGAATGCTAGTAGGAGATTGTGTATGAGAAAGGTATCGCGGTAAGACATATGGTAACCGCCATGTGCGACCTTGTTTTAGATGAGTGTGTGTCAGTCTATCGGGAAGGCTGGCGGTAAGAAGGATTGCGGATCTCTTCCAATCATGGGGAAAGTGCTTCATGTCCCTTCAAAAGCAACCGAGACTGATCGTGACAAAGATTACCTACACAATAATGTGATGATATCTCCTTGGCGAATAAAAACATTCTCGTGCCCCAAGGGGGGTATTTCAAAGCATAATCCGTGTATGCACAGATGAAAAGGAGGGGTGAATGTATGCATATATGAGTCAATCAGGAAAGTAAGAAACGAGGAAAGGTACCTTTTACTTTTAAAAGCGTGCTCGATTCTGCTTTTTTCGATGATAGTGAAAGGGAAAGAAAAATGACAAGCAATAGCCGAACCTCGCTTTCCTGCCCTTCATACATACACACACGTGATGGTGATAGATATGATGCGACTTATCTATCTTTTCCGCCATCACAACAATCCAATCATGGATCCACCTTGCTTGGCCATGTGCACGGCCCAGCATGCCAGTTGCATACATACCCATAGGACCAGACCGCTCCCAAGGACCAAACCCATCACGGGGAGAAGGAGAAAAAATCCAACGAGTAGGGATGTCACTTCAGACAGCACAAAAATACTCACGGTAATGGATAGGAGACATAGGGTAGAGAGGCTCAGGTAGAGAAGAAGCACAAGGATCGGTACTCCAAGGCCCAGGGAAAGGTACAGACCAGTCATCTGGGTGGAGAAACCAAAGGGCCTACTTCCTATCCCCGAAGGCCCAGGGTAGGATGAATGGGCACGGATGACCCTGGTCTGATCTTTAGGCGGAGAAGCTGAAGATTGAGGTAGTCGACTGAGGGTATGTCGACGACGAAGTGATCGAAGTCTTCCCTTTCCACTCCCTCCTGTCCCCTCCCCCTCCTCCTCCTCATTCTCCTGTTCCCGTATCAACTTGCCTAACCGATCATGTAGGGATGCCGCTCGTCGCAGCCTTTGTGGGCTCACCCTCCCTCCTTCATTCTCTTCTATCAATCGATCCAACTCCCGTTGCCGCTCCACCACATCCTCGTTCCAAGCTAGTCCACGGTATGACATGGGAGAATTAATGTGGTTACCGGATAATCCTGGGGAAAGAGAAATGGGTTTATACGAAGAACCAAAGTGCAATTGAAAAGGTGAGTGTGTGTTGAAGAGAGAGAGAGAAGGATAATCCCTTTTGTACTCCATCCTTAAATACATACCCCCTTTCCCCTCCCCCTCAATCAAGGAAAAGCTTAACGTAAAGAGGATATTTTAATCAAGTATCTCTTCGATTGGGAGTGATCCTACAAAAGATTCCACATAGTGGGACAAACATAACTCCCAGCACTATACGGGTACCAAAGTCGAAGAGTATTTCATTACTTTCTATCAAAAAAAAAAGAAAGGATATTGCGCCTTTTATTCCATCCATTGACACCACCCTTCCCGATCCTCCTCGTTCGAGAATCGTGGGATAAAGGGAAAGGCTTCGATAGAGGAAAATCCCTCAGATAGAACTGGTGGCTGGAATCGAGAGTAAAAAGTACGAAACGCCACATCGGGAATCCTTTCCCGCTAATTCCTCCCATCCGTACCACCCCAGAGGAAAAGGTCATGTAAGTATGCTTTTATCCCTCCATAAATACCCCATTCAGTATTCCCTTACCTTCCCCTCCTCATTGGATCCCTTGCGGATGGAACGATAGAGATTGTTATGTCGACACACTTCGGGGCCTGTGTTGACCCATATAACATAGCATGGGAGATTCATGCCCTTAGCTAATTTCAAATACTCAGCGCGTGTCGCCCGATCCCCATTCGTATTGTCTAAGGGTTTTAGGGGATGATGAGTTATCTAGGAAATAAAGTAACACCTCCTTTAAAACACCACACCTACCCACAACCACACGACCTCCTGCGGCCAAGGCCTCCTTGCTACCCTTTAAGCATTTGGCTTTGCTTTTAAGAGTGTCCTATAATTAAAGAGAATTCATCATCATTATAGTTAAAAGTCCAAGCTGTATCTCTCATACACACCCCGTACCATCTTCCTTACCATGTTGATCCGTGTATACCCCTTGGATTTAAAGTACTTCTTCCACACTGTTGATTTCCCACTAGCCGGCGCTCCTACCAATAAAATGAGACCCTTTTCCACCTTGGATGCAAGCTCATCGCATATATTTTTGGAATCATCCATCTCCTTGGTATCTGTGAAAAGGGTGAATACGTTCATCTCCTCCTCAGCCCCCTAGATCCACATACCTTCAAATTGGGTTGGGTCAAAGTCACCCAAGGAATACGGGGCAGACGCTTCCTGGAAAAAGTACTCTTCAGGGGTGTAAAAAGGCAATCCGACGTTCAAGGCCAATTTCCTATCCCAAGGGTCCGTCAAGGAGAAAAGTGTCAGATTTATATCTCTAATGAACAATACAATCCTACATTATCATCTTTCTCAAATCGGCATTTTGAACTCGAAAAAGAGGCTACATACCTATCAGCAGCCGAGTGATCTCCTCGAGTGACACCTTTCTTCCAGCCCTCCCTCCTTCCAGCTGCATCCCCTACGTAAAAGCTTTGGGTAAGATCGACTAGAGGTTTTAATGGGAAGATTATGGTCAATGAGTCATTCTAGACGGATATACCCTTTCATTTCTTCCCACTAACCTTTGCATCCATCAGACCACCCTTTCTCAATCAGGTAATGCCACATTCCAGGGCATGGCTTTCGGTAGACCCCATGATCAATGGACCCTAATACTTGGATAGGTATGTTCAACTGGACGGCAATAATTAGTAGAGATGACGAAGACGGGTCATTCTCTCGACACTTACCTCAGAGACAATAGCCATGACCTTGGCTCTCCATTCTGCTTCTCGTGCATTACGCGTCCCATCTTTTTTCCTCTTTAACCCTGCTTGATTGCTGAGGATAACTACGTTGAATCTGAAAAAAATGGGTGGATAAGTCGTCCATCAGTCACGAATTAAGAAAATATACTCTCCCTATACCACTTACCCTTTATTGACGAGGGCGCGTAAACGAGATGGGATGCATTCATCCCAGAATTGCCAATCGTGCCTATCTCGTGGGTGGACATGCGTGCCCCTGACTCGGATTAGTGTCCCATCCTAGAATGAGAAGGTTTAAGTACTTGGATCCAAACGCTACCTCCCTCTCCCCCTTTAGTTACAAGGTCAAAAGCAGCTACTCGCTCTGACGGGACCCGGGGATGCGTGGTCTGATTGGTATAGTGAAGCAACTTTCCCTGCCCCTCCTCCGTCCATACCCCTACAGGAGGGAGCTTGATTCGCTTTTGGAAAAAATCCTGCCTCTTGGTCTTGGATATATCGGACGCATCAGGGCTACGTTTCTTTGAGGTCATGACGTGGGCAATAAGACTACAGAGAGAAGGAGAAAGTGAGAGGGAAAGTCTCTAGATAGACGTACTTGCCTATTTACTTGGCTCATCGACGCGACTTTATTGATTGATTCAACTCTGGTGATACTGAGTCGTTATATCATCATCGCTCCCTCTCTCTTCTGATCTATATACCCAATCCTTTGGAAAATAGTAATAATATAGAAATAATAGGTACAGTATTTCTTTGATACCCATTTTATTTAATCGCTAAGATTTGGAACAGCTAGTGCATTTATCATCACCACTTGATCAAATGATAATTGAGCCAAAAGCTTTCTTGCTCTCTCAAGCATATCCAAGCATTATCAATCAAAAGGATGACATCGTAATTGAATATAGATATTAGGAAACTCCACTCCCGTATCTAAGCATATCAAGATCATTAGAAGTGGAACCCGCTTCCAAAAAGAGTAATGTGAAGAGAGCGGGATTCGAACCCGCGCCTTCATTCGAAGAATAGAACTTGAGTCTACCGCCTTAGACCGCTCGGCCATCTCTCCACAATTTTTGCTAATTTTTACACCTTATAAGATATACCTTATAAAATGGCGGAGAATAATATTGCCCTGCTCTCTCAACACTATTGGTGCCCATCTTACAAGAAGCCCACACGGCGGCAGCGGTATTTGGAGGTGATGGAGGTGGTGATGGTGATGGTGATGGTGATGGTGATGGTGATGACGATGGTAGTAGCTCCTCACAGGCAAAATTTCCCCCCTGTTTTCCATTCTTTCCTTCTCAATGATCTCTTATGTGGGCTCCACCCGCGCTGTATGGACCCTAATTTAAAACGGAGGCCAATTTTGCAAAAAAAAGTCCTGCTCTCCCATTTTTTCTCATCCTTCTCAGTAATCTCTTGTCAGATTATAACCACGCTCTACAGGGTCTTGAATAAATGAATGGAAAATTCGCAAGGCGAAGTATATAATGCCGTTGTGGAAGGAAGAACCGAGCGGGGACGGGACGGACCGATGGTGTTTACAGCCCCATCCTATCGTCCAGATGATCTTGCCTTGGCATCCTTCTCGGGAGTACAAAATTGTCACCTTGGCATGGTTGTCTACAAACAAAGGAACTTATACTTGATTTCCCTGGTAGCTTGGATATGGTTTTCTCGTTTCTTGATTTCAGGGATGGAACAATACGCTGACCGATATAGGGAATGAGGTAGTCGTCTTATTTCTGGCCATGTCCTTGTACTACCATCACCCCATGAGTACCTCCCCTGCTATTCCAGGAGCTCTCCTCCTGCTTTTCAGTCCTCCCCCATTTCCGGGGGATCCGGTCTGACATCATCCCCATGAAGAGACCAATGCTCCACTTTGATTAGTGAGTATTAGTGTTTCTTCCCGGGCTCAACAACGGAGACAATCCTCTTGCTCCTGGCGGCCTTTGAAGAAAATACCATATTTGTGCTTTGTGTGTAGATATGCGGCGTATGCGTGACTAGCCGAAGCATATCACTAGGAACAAACTTCGTTTACTGCATGCATTCACGCGCTCTTTGGTATCGGAGATGCCCTCGGCTCCACTACCACACCACCCTTCCTTCTCTCCGTTTTAGGTAACAGTGTGTGGCCATCTCATGGCTTTGTCACCATCGGGAGTCTCATTGTCCGTCGCTATATTGCTCACGCCCACGCCTCCTGCCCCTCCCCTGCCCGATTCGTCCTCTTGTCCATCACCTTACCCTCCCTCCCCCCGCTTCGTCTGGCCCATATCAGCCGGCCCCGCCACATGTCTTGAAGGAGGATCCTCTAGCTCTATAAAGGCCATCCATCACAGTCCAAAGGAGCACCTGTTGGACCGCTGTGCTCTTTCCTTCTCCTCTTTCTCCCCCCCCCCTCTCCCCTCTCCCCCCTCCTCCCTTCTCCCCCCTCCTTTTCACTCCTCTCACATCTCAGTCTCATGCCTTACGCACAGCCAGAGTACGACTACATCACCGAACCTCCCGAGGACCTTCAGTGCCCCATTTGCACCGACGCTTATATTGCCCCTGTACAGGTCACGCGATGTGGTCATCTCTTTTGCCGAGAGTGTCTTCATCACGCCCTTAGTCGCACATGCACGTGTCCTTTTTGCCGAGCTCCTCTATTACCTGCCGAGGATGTAGTGGAGGCCAGGGAGCTGGCCCAGCGTACCGATGCTCTGATTGTACGTTGCAAAGAGGCCCCTACATGCGATTGGCAGGGACCCCGTCGGGGTATTGCCCATCACTATGCCGATGTGTGTATGATCGTTGCTCTGAAGTGTGGGGACGACCCTCGGTTTTCCGGGTGCCCGGAGGAGCTTGCACGATCTGCCCTTGAAGCCCATCGTCCCCACTGCTCCTACTATCGGGACATATGCACCTGGGCATGTGGATACTCTGCTCCTCATACTAATGGTAATGCACTCGCTCTCCATGAACGGTCTATGTGTTCCGAGAGGCCTGTAACATGCGGGGCATGTGGTACCTCCACGACTTCCCTACGTCCCTTGGGTCCTCCCGTCCCAGGTCGACTGGCCCACCGGAGAGGTCGTAGCGGTCAAGTGATACAAACGACTGCTCCATCCATCTCCCCTCCTCTCTCTCAACCCCTCTCCCCTCCCATGGACCAGCTTTCCCCCCTTATCCTCCCTACTTCCATTACAGGGACGATCTCCCCTCCCCGATTGGACGGCCCCTCCAGGAGCTCTTCCCCCTCTCCCCTACCTGTCAATCATGGTGAGAGGACGGAGGGTCAGGCAGGTGTTGGGAGGATGCTTGAGGAAGGAGAGAGCCGCGTGGGAATCACCGAGATCTCCCCAATACCCCCTTCCTCGGTCAATAAAACCCCCCCTCAATCCCCTCCTCCTTCATCCGCCCGGTTACCGTCCAACCAACTTCGCGCACGAGATCTCCCTATGCATCATCAACGAGAATGCCCAGCAGCCATTGTTTCTTGCCCTCACCGGCACATTCTCGGAAATAGGGGAGGATGTATGGAGACTATGGCCAGGAAGGATTTGACCAGGCACTGTCTCGATGAATGCCCCTGGCATAGGACCCGCGCTCCCATTCAGGCCTTGACTCGGGAAATTACCCTCTTGGAGCAGCGTCTCCATCAGACGGAACGTACCTGGCGTTCCCGTTTCGATGCTATGTCCACCCTGGTCATTAATGCCTCATTTTTCCCTCCGAACCCCAAGGAAGCCGAGGCCGCCATCACTTCCCGAGTCGCCATGACCCCACCTTGTCGGAGGATATGTGTGCGTGGTTTCGGCCCCGATGGCACCTTTCCCATCTTGTGCAGTACCTTTCTTCCTAGTATCGTTAGTCCCGGAACAGCCATTGGCTCCTCTTCATTCATCCCAAGCCGCCCCATTCGTCCCCGCCCGCAGGGTCCACCTTTGCTCGCTGGCCTTTTTACTCATATGGCCACAGGTCCCATAGGGGGTATGTCTGGCTCTTCAGCATCTGCTTCTCTCGTCGCCTCTTCGTCCCATGATTCCACCCGAGGCCGCTCCCATATCCGCTCCCCGCCTCCTCCTCCTCTTCCTACCGCCTCTGCCCCCCCAAGATCTCCTCTTCTTCTCTCCTCGCCTGCTCAATCTCTGCCTTCCTCCTCAATCAACCCACTCAATTCCTCTGAGTCCCCTCGTTCCAATGGCCTCGGAGGAGGCTTGAATATTGGCGTGGATAGAGAAGCGTCCCCGGGGAGGGGAACGACCGCAAGCGACTCCGATGAAGACATTCCATTGGGTGAGACTACTCGACTTGGAGGGGAACGACGTAGATTTGCAGGGACGCCCATCAATGGGGATATGTCCACCGGAAGGGAGTCCAATAATGTTACTTCCCCCGAGATCCGTTCCCACCGCCGCAATTCTAGTCAGGAGGGACCAGGGGATACCGTAAACAATGACGATGATGGCTATGATGACGAGGAAGGGGATGATGAGGAGGTTTACGCAGGTGAAGACAATGAAGAGGATGGGGGGAGATGGGGATCGGATGAGCCAGAGGAGATCAGTCTAGAAGAGTTAGATTTCCGGGGGTCGTCCATCCTGTGGAGTGGAGCTCTTCCACTGGCAAGAGCCATATCTCGGCCAGGATCCCTTCGGATCCTGCGACTCGGAGGCAATGGGCTGAGCGCGCATGGGGCAGAGGCCGTGGTCAAGGCCCTTCGCTACCACCCCCACCTTCACACCCTGGACCTTTCTTCTTGTAGCCTAAAGGACGGGGGGGGCCGATATCCTGAGCCGATCTCTCAAAAATCTCTCTGCCTTGCGTGTTCTAGACCTTGGGAGGAATGACCTAAGGCATCCCGGGATCAAGGCCATTGCCGAATGGGTTGTCTCCTCTCCGGGGATCGAGACTCTTATCTTGTCGGAAAACGAAGTCAGCGGGGCGGGGTTGGGCTATTTAGGCCAAGCCCTTCTCCATGCTTCCTCCCTACGTGTCCTACGGCTTCAGCGATGCCGAGTGGGAGGTCCACGATGGCCCATGTTCCTCTCGGCCCTCTTCCACTCCTCATGTATGATTGAGGAACTAGACTTGACCGGCTGCAGTCTTTCCGATAGTGAGGGGGCTGAATTGGCCACTCATATCAGTACTGGATCCTCCCCGCCTTCTTGCATTCGTCTTGCTCAGCATAGCATGCCTCCTGATGTAGTTCAATTTATCCGGCGGTCCCAGGCCCTTGGAGGAAATCGTATTCGGCTTCCTGGTCTGGGCGGGGGGCGAAGGGGGGCGCACCGTCATAGTCCACGCTCTTCCGGCGCTTCCGGGCCGGGGACACAGGGAAATATTTCCCATCCGACATACATCCCTAGCGGATCTGGTAGGTCCTTGAATCATGAGGTTGTGGAGGATAAAGTAGCGCGCATAATTTCACGCCCATACTGATCTTTTTCCTCTCCTAGTGGATTTAACCAGCGAGGAGGCTCGTAGAGGTAGGCCTCCCGCTAATTCCATGTCCAGTCTTCCCTTACTGGATAGTCTCGGCGGGATTATCAACTCCATTTCAGAATAATTCCTCTCTCTATATCTTAGGGCCTAGGCCAGGGTTATCGGGAGTATTACGAGGCTTTGATGTCAAAAGCAAGATGGAAGGGTGCATGCCTATGATAGTGTATGTAAGGGGAGTATAAATGTACAATGAAGCATGTTGTCCTCGATCCATCCCTATTCCACATTCAATTTATCTAGGCGAGTAGGGTACTTATTTTACAAGTACTCCTCTTGATTTGTCTTTATTGAAAGGGATGAGCCATTCTTCAACGCCATTGATTGTGTTGATTAGGAACCACTTCCATGGTACTGTCTTGAGGCTATTTCTAGGTGTTGATAGTCAGCTCGCCGATATGAAGAGAAAGAAGAGGCATTTTTTATTGCCCTGAATACTTTTTCAGACACAGATCTTATATCACGCAAATTGTTGTAGTACCAACATAGGAAACAGCACATAATACAATACGCTATACCGAACAGTACTGGAACCATAATTCTCAATCGTACCAGGCTGAGAAGATAGGG